TCTCTTTTTCTTCACTCTCTCTCAAAAATCAACCCATTTTCTCTGCATTCATAAGTACAGATTAAGATTTGGAGAGCAGCTTTTTACATGTCTAAAAATGACCTCTATTAACTTTTTTGTCCCACTCTGCTCTCATAATTCCTTCACTATGAGAGTGAAGTGGACTGTGCACTTGTCTGTGAGCTGCTTAATATTATAGTCACAGCTCATGCCAAGCTCTACACGCAGCCTTAGCTCAAAAACAGTAGAGTCACTGAGAAATGGGAAAGTGACAAGAGTCCCTGAAGAAATGACTGGTTTACGATGTAGGATGTAGAAAAATAAATTCAGCATGACATACAGTACAGTTTTTGATTTTTAATTTCTGAATTTCAAGTCAGTATGGGAATATACTTTTAGCACAAAGAAACAGAACTTTCATACAGAGAGCAAAAGTGTCTGCAATGATTTCTTCTTAAAATTCTAGAGTGTAAACTTTAGGTAAAATAAGCCAAATAAGTTGTGTTAGACACGTTTAAAAAGGCCCTACATAGAAAATCTATAATAAAATAATTATCAATATCCCACAGTATTTTACATATTTTACCAAAGAAAATTTATCTGTTGCATTAAACTTTGGAATGTGTAGAATATGTAGGACATGTGGCTTTTATATATTTTCAAGTCTATTTACCCAAATATGTACAGATTCTAATCAATGTCTGGTTTCTCAAATATCTCAAACTTATTTTATAAAATATAATAAAACATGAAATTGTTCGTGAAAGTATTTCTTTTAATAACTGTGATTAAAGCTTTATTTAAAGTGGTTTTATTTAAAGCAACCTATCTATTAGGAGCATATTTATTACATTTTGCATAATCTATTAAAAGAGTCCATTTAACTCTATGCATCATGCTGTTGCTGAAAATCTGCACAAACCTTTCATAGTAAGATGGAGCTAAAGTTTACTTAAAAGCTAGAGAGGGAGAAGGAGTTTTAGTTATTACTGTGGAATACATACATTTCTGTTGTAAACTCAAGTCTTTTTTAATGAACCAGTAATTCCCTTTCCAATGCAATGTCAGGTTTTTACATAGTGGATTACCAACAACTTAATATTTGTTTAGGATGTTAAAATACTTTGTGTAAACAAGCAGAACTAAGCACCTTACAAGCAAAACGCTGCATGGAGAAAAAACAACTGCATCCTGATAGTGAAACTTGGTGATCATCATGTTGTAGAGATACTTTTTTTATCTGCCGGGATAAGAAAACAG